GAGACAACTTGAAGCAGGACTTGTCATACTCATAGCTTTTACAGTTGTTTTGGTAGTTTAAACTTGGACTGTTGTTTGCAGGGTGTCGAGTAACCTGATTTCGTACATATGCTGCTGGTGTCAACACTTTCCATTCGATTCGTGTAGCTTTTTGGCTCTTTTAGTGCTGGGCCGTCGTTCTTCCAGCCCAAGTGCCGGTCTACAGTAGCCACCTCCCACTCAACGAACGACATGATCTTGAAACAACAGCAAGCTTTGCTAAGCATGACTGCTGAATGCCGGCTGATACAAAAGTACTGGCAATTTGTTGCCAAAATTCAACGCCCCGGCACCGGACTTTGATGCGACACATCTTCGCAGCCCACCGTGCAACACCCGGTATAACATCACACACATAACATCATACAACATCACACCCTATTGCCATGGAGCTGGCGGCTATTTTGCACTTGTCAATCTCGGTCCACCGGGTGTGAGCGAAATGATGATTATCATCTCTCAGTACATCCACTCCTTCTGCATCGTCGCGCTCCACTCCCATTCTCTTCTGATCAGCGGGCTTGGGGTTGGCCCGCGCACGTCAGCGCGCCCGAGGATGCGAGCTGGGTTCACTGCCATCGTCCGGGGAGTCTGGGGGGGCTTTCGGGCCCCAAAAAACTTCACCCCTCCCGGACGTGAAACTCCCCCTGTTTCAACCTCCATTGCACCAAGGACGACAACCTGCAGGGGGCCAGCTGATCTGTGAGGGATCCCTTGACCCCGGCCGGGCTGCTCAGGTGCGAGAATGGCTCTCTCCCTCTCTCTCCCTCTCTCTCCCCCACGCATGACCCCCCCGAAGGGAGGCCGCCCCCAGTGCTGGTCTCGGGCTCTCTCTCTCTCTCTCTCTCTCGGACGGGTCTCCTGTCAGCTTATACATTATAATATATAATCTATATACCAATAAGGTTGGGTTTAGTAATTGGTTCAACAAACCATGAGCAAGACCTCTTCCAAAGCCCATGGAACTAATGAGGTCGCGAGAGGAACCTAAGACCTTTACAGAGTCCGGCACCGTCTTCATCTCTTGCGTGCTGAGCCCCTTAAGGCCCGTTGGCAAACCTCAGTGGCTCGGGCTTGCAGGGCGCAGGCGGTACAGGGTCTCGTGAGTCTCGTGTCCTCTTTAACGAATTCTCACACTCCGCCCTGTGCTCTGTATGGCGTTGTAGAACCTGGGAACCAAAAGCAACAGGCGTGAGCTGTTAGCCTGCGTCGAGGGACTAAGGTTCCCAGATCTTCTTGCTGTTAAAGCCGACGGCAAATTATGCCCCCCCCCCCCGCCCCCCCTCCCCCTCCCCCGGCGCAAAAATAAAGAAATCCGAGGGGTTTAATTTAACCCCCCCCCCCCCAAGAAGTCCAACTCCGCCGGGCCGAGCAGCGCATGTCAGAAGTTCCGTGGCGCAGTCTGCTCTTGTCCTCTGATTCCGCGGATGAGGAAACCTGTGAGCAAGCCGCTTTGCTTCAGGGATTTGGGCCAGTGTCAGGTCGGAGACACAAGGTGTCCTGGGGTCGAGTAGGAGGGGCACGGGCTGCGACACTCACACAGGACGTCAAGGTGCAAATCGACGGAAGATCGATTTCTGCTTGACTGTTGCCACAGTCCCAATTGCAGCAGAAACCTCCCTACTCCCCCCGAAGTCTAAGACAAAACTCGCGGTCAGCAACGCTGTATGAATCCTTTCCCGTTCCTTTCCCACCTCAGAAAGATCAAGCTCCAGCGGACCTCTGATCTTCCATCACTTGAGCTGAAGTGCAAGTTGGGCTGGCATTTCGAGTTGACGGTCCGGCGCTTGACAACCCAAACATGAATCTTGTCAGCCCCGATTCAAGCTTAGAGCTCCCACAGCAGCCGAAAACACAGTTTAGAATTTCTAGCTGCTGCCCAAGGTGCGAGGAGCAGGCTTCTGAACGGCCACTGCAATCTTCGGAGTGGGCCCCTCACTCACCGTACATGAGTCCTCCAGCCTAAGCTGGCAAACATGTAGGAACGTCTACTGTGTCGCAGCTCAAGTGGGTTCGGGGCCAACGCCAGGGTTGAGGGCACGTATGAGACTTCAATTTGTAACATTGCTAGTGTTTTTCTCAGTTCACCTCAATTCTGTCCATGAGCACAGCAATACCATTTCAATAAGGTTCAAGGGGTTTCAAGGGTCTATAAATATCCCCAAACACCAGACGCTAAACCCTGAAACTGTCAAGCAATGCCAATCTAACGTCTAAACAATCCACGTAAGTGCTTTTTTCAGCACCACCTGCTGAGCACATTCCCCGGCAGGACAACGAAGAAATGCCGCAACAACCGAAAAGATTTGACCACTCACTGCCAGTCACACTCAGATATGGCTGGCCGAGGTGGAGGAGGGTAAGCCAAAGAAGATAGAAATCACAAGCAAATACAATGAATGGGAAAGCTTTCACTTGAAGGAAAACATCCATCTACTTGTCGAATCGGAAAACCTCTACCGTTTCCTCAAGAACTCAAACGATGACAATGAGGATAGTGAAGTCTCGGAATCCTCAAGATTCAAAGACAAGCCCCACAGATATTTCCTGAAGCAAACCTGCATTCCCTTTCAGATACCTCTATCATCCTCTATCCAAAGGATCCCTGCCACCCCTGCATTTTCTGCTTCTCTACGTTCATAAAGCCTCAGTCTTGAAACGTTCAGAGGAGAACCTCTGTTCTGTTTTTGTCGGGAAACCTTTATTTCGCCTACATGTTCCGAACAATCATGTGTGTTTTCGGTTTCATGCAGATATTTCTTGTGCATGACAAACCGTGGATGACTTGTTGTTTGCTTTGGCTCCCTTGGGTTTTAACTAACATCGATTCCTTCACAATTCTCGTAGCCCGATAGGTGCAAGTGTTCCTTCTACATACTTCACGCTAAACAATTCCAGGATCTATTTCCTTTTAGAAAGGAGACATTTCCGATACATCTCATAGCTCTCCGTGTCCTGAAAGGACTTAGGAGGACCTGTGCCTTTGGCGCTATTGTAGTCGCGGAGCTTTGCTGTGAGCCCAAAGCCAAGAAGCCGAGGGTGAAGAAAATCCGAGAAGCCAAGAGAAAAAATCCAGCAAAGCGGCGTGCGAGACTACTCCAAAACACAAAGCCGCAGACCATCCACAATCGCTATGTGCTCACAATCACATCAAGTGGTGCCGATGCTGAGTCGCCAGTCGCTTCGTAAGGAGCCCCTCGCCTGACACAATGCTGACATGCCCTTGTATGGTTCGCAGACGCATTGCAGCTTGTACATCTATGCTATCCACCCCACCGCCATGTCGGATTCAAGTTGCGTCGGAAGGCTACTGGTACAAGGAGCGCCTAGGCTGCCCTGACCCCGCACTGGCCCCGCATTTTTGCGCGGACGAAGCTATGCACAATCTGCACAGATACTGACCAGCAAGATATGTGACATCTCTTTCAATGGCTCAAAAGGAGAAATACGTTGTATCACGTCGTAAATGTGCGTCCGTTGCCCATTGAGCTCGGGGGCCTCTCTAACAAGGAAACATCAAACAACCGCATGATGGAGTCCACCCCAAAGCTCTCCCAGAAACTCTTGCAACACAAAAGAACTGCGCAAAAAGAGCCAAAATCAGTCAGTAACTTCGCGCACGAGCCCGCCCAAAGCCCTCCCCCTGACCTCGCACTCCAGTCCGTTCACGTTCAGAGCTGGAGAGAAGGTCTCTTGGTCGTAGTCCGTCTGTTGCCGCCCAAAGGTCCTCTTAGCTTTGGGGACGAGGAGCTATTTGATGTCCTATCGGTTTCAGGCTGAGGTGTGGAGAGCGTTGGAGATATCGGACTGCTACAGGTCTCGCTGGTTGATTCGTTGGTTGGCCTATTGCTTCGCGGCGCCACTTGAAACAAAAACAGCCCTAAACACGCAAAGAGACACAAACAAGTCCCTGAAGCACTGCTGGAGAACTTGTAATTCCATTTCCCCAACTCGAAATGTGTAGGGGGGAAGTGATTAGCTCCAGTCGAGCGACGTTGGGTCTTGTTCACGTCGGCTCTCAGCATAGACGTCCAGAAGCTGCTGCCGAAGATGCCCCAAGGACTTGTCCAGAACTTGGACAAACCTTATAAAGTAGAGGGGTCTACTTGGCCTATAGAGCACCGGATGACAGGTGCGCTTTGGACACAAGTCTATAAGTCCTCCGGCCTTCGTGTCGCACAGTCACACGGAGTCTTCACATCCACATTTAAAAAAAAACCATGTGCTGAGGCCAGAGGGAGAAGGGGGAGAAGGGGTAACTCCCAAGCTGACAAAAGCACCGAACACTCGGGAGAAGGGGCGCCTCTCTCTGTGCTGCAGGCCAGGGGCGCTTCCGACTCCATGCTGCCAGTCCGGAGTCACCCAACCATTGGCCGAAAGCTCCCCCGACAAAAAAACGCGTAACGGCACTCTGACTGTGTCGAATGTGCTGATGGTCTAAGTCTAGAGAGTCGACACGTCCCTCTGCACAAGGCTGTCTGTCAGGGAATCTCAAGTGATGCCCGAGGGCCAAGGCTGGAAAGTTCGGAGCTTTATCTTGTGCGTGACTCTTGCCTTATCCAGCAAAGCTCCGCGCAGCAGCAGGCGGATGAGCTGCTAGAGCCCAGAGGAATGCCCACATACCCAAAACTCGAATTCAAATACTGCCAATGGGAACAAGCATACCAACGCACCTTAGTCTAAGTCGAACCCACGATCCATGATGCCGCCTCCCAATACGCAATCAATTCGATCGGGTGAACGAAGTCCACATGTAAAAACCGACCCTGAACGCTAAAGTCTCGAGTCTCGAACTGTACCATGTAGCAGACAATGTTTCTTGTAAATTACTCAAATTCAAGTTCATCCGAGAGATCACCATGTGGCACGTGGCAGCCAACAGCAACCCGAAAACGTCGAAGCCCGACAACCTTGAATTCCCAGTAGTTCCGGATGTCTGCACGCTAGCATCATGCGGCTGCCTCCACTTCGACGCACGGATAAGGATGCACGGAGCCTTACATCAGTAACTCCGGTTTTTGCAGTGAGCAGTGTTGTAGGCTCTCCTTGTGAATTAATTTAGCTACCAGCAGATTGACCGGACGTATTCCGCCGCAAAATCCACGACCTCAGGAGGGGCCCTCAAAACCCCCTCAGCCTCATGAAGGATGCTCATTGCAGCACATCTTCGCTGGTCTGAACGAGTGCAGTTGGGGCTGAAAATGGGCTCAGCATGGCTCAGCCTTCTGTAAAGCACAGCATGGCACAGCATGGCACAGCATGGCACAGCATGGCACAGCATGGCACATGGCCACTCAACTGAAAATGACGGAGGGCACTCTCAACAAGAAGTCAGATGTTTGCTTTAGAGCGCTGCACTGGACAACCTCGAGCCTTGCTAGTGTTTCGTCACCCCCCCATCGTTTGGCAGCACCTCCCTAAACCCTAAACCCTAAACCCTAAACCCCTAAACCCTAAACCCTAAACCCCTAAACCCTAAACCCCTAAACCCCTAAACCCTAAACCCCTAAACCCTAAACCCTAAACTCTAAACCCTAAACCCTAAACCCTAAACCCTAGGGTGATGGAAAACGATGGGGGGTGGAGGTAGTGTTTGCCAATGTGTTGGGGATGCCAGTGATTTGTATGCTGAAGGGAGTCCGAAACAAGCTGCCCAAGCGAGTCAAGAAGCCGTCTTGCGCCGTTGTCAGTTGGCAGCTCACCCCCTGATGCAGCATGTCAAAGCAGTTGTCGCCGAACAGCTCAATGAAGCTTACCTGCATAGCACAGAGTGCTACTTTCTTGACACGTGCAATAAACACAAGCGGTGGCGGCGTCCCCTGAAACCGAAATGTCAGAACGAAAGCGACCTGGGCCGCGCAGCTGAAACATCAATACATGTGAAGCAATGCCACGCAGAGATCGGGGCTTCTTTCATCCCTTTTCGGAGGCCCGTTTCAGGGAGGATTCTGCCAGATTCGCTAATCCATGTTTTGAAAACTCCCATATGAACAGTATTGTGTCACTCCCAAACCCTATACCCTCAACCCGGAATATCCCGACCTAAACCCTGCCTAGATGAATCCTACTGCCTTATATACATCTTAAATACCCTAAACCGCCCTATATGAACCCCGATGCGAATTCGACCTGATGCTGTCTGGGAGTGGCCTCGCGCCACAGCAGGAGAAAGCAGACTCCCAGTGCCGAACACCCCACACACGCCACAGAGGGAGGGAGAGAGGCTCCCCCAACCACCCCACAGAAGGGAGGAAACCACCCCGTTCAACCCTGCCCTACACCCCGCAAGGAAGGGGGAAACCATTTTCACAGCCATATGTTGCACAAGAGATGCCAGGGATCGCCAGCGGCAACAGAATCTCCAGGACACAGTGGCTCGACAGAGCCAGCTCTCAGGATTTGTTGGGACACGAGCCGGCTTCCTACGAATAGGGGCTTGTTTGATTATTATTACCATTGTTATTCTGATTCCTATTATTAGGATTATTATTATTCGGATTATTACTGTTGTTTTGGGTCGGAATGCTCAGCGCCAAGAAGCCTTTCGAAACCCGAGGCCTCGAAGCGATAGGATTGTTCTACAGCCCTGTGCTTTCACATGTCTGGGTGCTGTGACAACGCGGCCGGAGGCTCCAGCAAAGATGTCCTCTGCAGCCTGCTGGTAAATGGAACCTGGGAAAGTACGAGGAAGTGCATCGCTTCTCTCACAACGTCACTTTTCAGAGAAACAAGCTCCGGCGTTCACGGAAGTTCCTGACGGCTTGTTTCGGGACTCCACTCTCCCCCCAACAGTGCAGAATCCCTGGCGAACGTTGTGCTGTCCAAGGCCCCGACGCATGGTGTAGGTCTTGCCGCTACCGGTCTGACCGTACCTTGGCATCTGATTGTTGCACTTGAGCATCGTTACATACTGCCATGTTCAGCCTGAGCACAGAGGGACTCAATTCTGGGCACCTGGGATCTTTTAGCCTGAGGTCTTTGCTAAATTCTGCTAAGTCATAGGAGCTTCCTTCTCTTGTGTCGCATGAACCAAGAACATGTGTAGTCGTTCGGCGCTTAATCTGCTCTTCCTGAAGGGTGCATCATCACCGTGCCATTCTGGCCTTCCAAGGCAGCGCCAACAATGGCCTGTGGCTCAAGCGAGTAGACACACACCCCTCTCGCGCATCAGCATGCCAGCAGGATATTTTCGCATGATGTGGTCTCCTGATTATGTTGGGGGGCCCGCCCACCCCCCCCCCCCCCCCCCCTCTCCCCCCTCCCCCCTCCCCCCGTCCTCCCCCCCCCCCCTCCCCCCCGCCGCCGCACCCTCCCCTGCCCCTCCCCCCCCCCCCCCCCTCCCCCCCCCCTCCCCCCCCCCCTTCCCCCCCCCCCTCCCCCCCCGCCCTCCCCCCCCCCCCTCCCACCCCCCCTTCCCCTCTTCCTCCCCCTCCCCCCCGCCTCCCCCCCTAAACTAAATCCACCCCCACAATAGTGTCACAAAAAAAAGGAACCCCCCCGAACTAATTTTCGGCCCCGGGCCCCCCCCACAGGCTCCTCTTCATTTCCTCTTCGCTCCTCTTCCTCTCCCTCTCCTCTTCCTCTCCTCTTCCTCTCCTCTTCCTCTCCTCTTCCTCTCCTCTTCCTCTCCTCTTCCTCTCCTCTTCCTCTCCTCTTCCTCTTAGGTGATGTTGTCTGCATATGAATTTAAAGGGGATCCATCTATCCCAACCAAGCCAGCCCGAAAAAGAAAATATAATTCCGGGGGAGCAAACTTTTTAGTAATACGGCATTCGGGCAGCTGCTGGACTACCCCCTTTGAAATTTGATTGCCCGGCCTCGGTACAAATCATTTTATAAGGAAATCTTAGCTTTGGGGCCGGCCTGGAGGCTTAAGATTTCAGGGCCCGACAACCTCAGGCCTCAAGGTTTAGCTCAGGTAAGCTCAGATGAGCTCAGCTCAGGTAAGTTTGTTTTTCTCCCTCTTCCGAAACCCATGCCCGAAAAAACTTGTCATTATTGTAGGGGGGCAACCAAATTTTTGTCCCCTGAATTATTTTTTGAAGACTGTTCATTATTGGAGGGGTCCACACTAATCAGGATACGACATTATGAGTCGAAGCGACAGCAACAGCAGCAACAAGAACAAAAATAACAACAAGGACAAACACAGCCTCATCAACACCCCTGCCCCACGGCGCACATTCCTCACAGAACGTCTGCCTTGGCAGTGCCTTCGTAGACGGTCCGATTGCCCGCCGCCTGATGAAGGCTGGCTGCACATGGGCCATCCCGCCACGTTGCTAAACGATGGCCGGCTAAGGGTTGCATTCTGCATAGTCAGTGCATAGTGGAGCTTTGCAGAAACTGAGCCGGACTTCGCTCCCTCCAGCCTCACCAAATCCCTCGTCGAAGTCAAAGTCATGGTGGTTCATGTACCTGGATGCTCGACTACAAAAGATGGGGGGAGGTTCAACTGCGTTTGTTACAGGCAAGTCCAGCTTTACTCTGAACATCTCATCATGGAGACAGGGCCTCGCAGAATTCGCACCAGCAAAATGAATCAACGGTCATGACGAAAAACCAACCTTTGACAGAGAAGTGGTGTGCCTAGGCGAATGGCGTGTGCCGCGTGCTGGTCTGAGAGTTACAGCAATTGCTGCTGTTGTTTGCCAACAGAGGCGCATGAAGACTTGAGTGCAGACAAAGATGCAGCTTCACCATATCTGGATGCATTCGTGCGTCCTGAGCATGCGCAGTGTCTCAGTTGACTCTTGCTCCGTGCCTTAAGAAGTCCGTTTTGCAGTTGACCCCCTCGACATTTGAAGTACACGCCCAGATGTCCTTCAACAGCGCAAGCTGAAAGCCTGCCTCACTACCCTAGAACATCCTTGAATCCTAGAACCCAGGCATCCATGCACGAAGGCTCAACACAACTCACGCCCGCATGTCCACACAGAAAGCCTTGCATGAATTGCCTCCCCATTCCCTCATTGCAGCTGGCGTCGTGCACCACAACCCGTCCAGGATCTAGACAGGTGATTGCATCAAACTCACCTGTCCAAAGGCTTCCGTGTTTGTCGTCCGGTTTTTTGGGGGCTTTGAAGACGTTGAGTCTGTGAGAGACTTTAGCAGTTTTACTTTTGATTTTAGCAGCTTAGTGAGCCTTGCTTAGCCCGGTAAGTGTTTTAAATTTTGCCACGGCTGAAGTTCGAGTCGTTCGGGTCGACGAAATGCGATTGCCAACTTGGCTTTTGTAAGTAGGTGAGTGGTGGTCATGACAGCGCGCAAAGCTAGCCTGCATATGCCCTCCAGTGCCCTTGATAGCGCAAATCAGTGAACATGGACAAGCTGCTAGACCCGAGTCTCGGCCAATTACCCGAGTCGCTGGAAGGTGCCCGCACGTGCCCGGAGTCTACGTAAAGGAGCTGCATGCAGCAGGACGACCGTCTGCAGGCGCCTTGTTCAATCTCATGTGGAAAGATTGGCCTTTTCCGAACCTGGGATGGCAGCTAGGTTGAGCTTTCGGATGAGCTGGAAGAGGCGCCGCTGATAGCGGCATAAAAGCAAAAGACGCCCAGAAGTATTTAAAACTTCACATGGCTTGATCGCCAGGACGCGCAAACACGTATGCCACGGGCTTCCGCTGACCCGCTGCACCGAGGCGGTGCTTGGAATGGTGCCTCGGTGCGGCGTGTCCCTTCAGGTCCCTTGCATAGTACCCGTGTTTGGGGATCTCATAAATACCTGCCTTCTTACCATCCATGTTTGCCGAGGCCTTGGGCAGAGTTGCCCACACGTGCGCAGGCTCTGCTTGCTTGTTTGCGATGATGCGGAACTGATATGGGAGCTTCGTGCGAAAACACACGACACGTGCATACCCAAGCGCTGGCACTGGCACTGGAAATGGCACGCATGCCCACACGCGCCCGCACACGCACACGCACGCACACATGCACCCAGACGGAGACGGAGACAGAGACAGGGACAGAGATGCAGAAAGAGACTCTGAAATAGTCGGAGACAAACACACAGCCACAGACAAACACACACACACACACACAGACAGGCCCGCACCCTCTTTCGAAGGAGTCGTCAAGATTTATTGACTGTACAGCATCAGAGTTCTGGTTGCATCATGAAGACATAACTACACAGAAGGCTCGAATGTAATTGTTGAGAAGACGAATTGCCGAAGAGTCCCTGCTGCACGAACGAAGACGTCTTTGATGCCGGGCTTCATGCCAACTTCCTGGTGGTGCGTCAAGAGGCAATGATTCTGGAACAGAGTTCAATGCCTTCGCTTCTGCCGGAATTTCGCCGACAATAATGCCAGATGTAGCATCGTTTGCTCCATCTTTGGGTTCTGGCCCCAGCAGCCTCTTGTGCAGGTACATTTACCTGGCTTTACCACATAGAGCTTCGTTGGCCGGAGCTATGCGACCCCCTCCATTTCATTCTTGCTTAATCCTTTGCAATCAGGAGTGTACACTACACACACACACACACACTCGCACACAGACAGACACAGAGAGACATAGAGAGACATAGAGAGACATTGAGAGACACAGAGAGACACACAGTGACACACAGAGACACAGACGCATAGACACACAGACGCACAGACGCACAGACACACAGGCTCACAGACCCACAGACGCACAGACGCACAGACGCACAGACACACAGACACACAGACACACAGACGCACAGACACACAGACGCACAGACGCACAGACGCACAGACAGACAGACAGACAGACAGCCAGCCGACCAGGCAGACAGCCGACCAGGCAGACAGACGGACAAACAAACAAAGCAGCGCGCACGCGCTCGAGCACATACAATCGCAGGGACGCGCTGCTTCGCTACGGCCGGTCAATTGCTCAACCGCAGTTCTCTTTAACAAACACCACAAAACCCAGCAAAGTCTGGCATCAGGCACGGACCTGTCGAAAACGCTGCGCGGCAGCCTGCCAGAAATGAGGGAGCACGGAGATGAGGCCTAAAGCAAGGTATAGCTGCACATGCATAAAACTCAGGGATCTACAATGAAGCAAGAGGGCAAATAAGGAAGTTCTTTGGAGTTCGTTGTGGCTGGCGGGCGTAGCAGGGCCAATTAGCTCGAGATATTGCCTCGAAGATGGCGCGGTGCTCCCGCCGCGATGTCCTTGATTCGACTTCAAGGTGTCTTTTGAACAGTCTATTGTGCAGATTGTACCGTCTTGTAATGTCTTGTACATATTGTGCGCAGAGTGGCTTCTCATGACAGGGGATTGCGGCCTCGGTGCTGGGGCTTTGGTTTGAGTCCAACTTTGGGCTCTTGAGGGGATCGGCTGTGCAATAGACCTCCGAGGCTGATTCGTATTGCTGTACACTATAGACTGGTCTATTTTCCAAAACTGTGGCAAGAATTGGGTACAGGCATATATGGGCCTTCGCTGACAGGGAGAAGCAACGTGAATCTCGAAGTGGTGCTTGTGGCTGTTGCGTGTAGTTTCGAATCTTGCTGCCAAAGCGTCCGCTTGTCTGCATTGCGCACCAACGGCCCCGACTGCTCGTTGCCCATGAGCTCGCACACGCCCGGATCGAAGCGAACGCTAGTGACGTAAGGGCACGATACATAGCTGACATGGGGAAGTTTCGCAGGGTCGTGGGTTGAGACGGCTGAAGTGGGATGGGTAGTGAGTTGTAGTGGCCGGGGTCATGAAATGGACTTTACCCCGTTGAGCAGATTCAGTGAGATGGATGCAAGGCCATATGCTTGTCTTAGGCCGGGCTAGCGGGAACACAATCTCCCTGGGCCATGAGCTTTGCTCCAGTGCATTGACATTATTTCCGATGACCCAAGCACACGTGGCCAGGATGCATGCGCAGCGGAAGCATCGTCCTCCGTTCCCCCTTCCCCCCGCCCCCCCCCCCCCCCCCCCCCCCCCCCCCCCCCCCCCCCCCCCCCCCCCCAAACTTTGCACTCAAGACTAGCAAGGGCCAAGCTGCAAGTTCCTGTGGCTCAGTATTTTAAGGCAGACAGGTATCCTCAAGTCTACAAAAAAGCCGGATGAGGATGTCGCGACAACGTTGAGGCATCCTTCATGTGCCCTGGCGGTGCGCGAATCGGGGCGTTCGTAACTCCACACGCGCCCTGAGCCTGCTGTACAGGTCCGAATCATGTCTCAAGTAGTCATGTCTCAAGTAACCGGTAGCTGGACCCTATAGACTAGCGGAACAAGGCATGTCTTGAAGAGTTGCTGCCTACGGCAGCAAAAGCCAGGAGTTGTGGGAGTTCGTGTTTCGCACCGAGGCATGCATCAGCTAAGCTCCCGTGCCAAAGCCCGTAGTTCCAACGAGTTCACGCTCTGAAGCAACAGATCCAATGCCTGGCTATCAGCAGACCCTGCCCTCCAGCATCTGAGTCTACGCACGACTGTTGCAGAGCTTGCATGCGGTGGCGATGTTTCATTCTGGCTCACGGTTCGCAAAGCCCCCCTCCCCGCCCCCACACCCAGCATACAAGAAGAAAAAACGTGAAGACCCTTGTAGCTTGCGGAGACCCTCGCCCTTCTCCTCTTCTCTTGTTTTCCAATCACTAACCTTAACACCAATGTCGCCCGCACCACAGGGAGGGGGGGCGGTTGAGGATGACTTTGCAGACAGTTTAGGGTATCGCTCAGGTTCTTGTTGTGCCACTCGCCTAGCTGACACAGAAGCCACATTACAGGGAACAGTGTCTGGTCTATCGAGAGAAATCAGGGTTTTTAGCGTTCAGGTTTTTCGACGGCCTTGAACGTGGCACTGAGGCAGTTGTGATGCCTGTGCCTGCGGTGACATGGCATGCCAAGGTCGACTGAGCGGTTACACGCGTCTCTCTGCTCTGGATGCAGGATTCTTTAAGAGACGTCTGTGGATTTTGACGATGCATATCCACGTTTTTGGAGCTTGAATTTGTGCACCTCAACTTATGTACACCTCTGAAAGTATCGGAGTTCAAGGCTTCCGGCAGGATCAGGATGCGATGCTGGACTAACTGGCAAAGAAGGCCAACAGGTTTCGGCTCCCACGCGCAACACGAATCTCAGGAGTTGAGCATTAATCGCTACACCGTACATCAACACGGAGTAGCAGGATGACTCCAAACCCCAGAATGCAAGCCGAGATCGGGATGAGAATCATCGACCAGTATTGCAAAAAAGACATACACTACTGTATCAAGGCGAGATCTTGGAACCCCAAAAGCCTATGTACCCCGCGAGCACCATATCAAACTATCTTGCAGCGTAAGTAGGGATGCAAGCGCCGGCTCTTTGGAGTGCGAGCCTCCTGTGCTGGTTCCGCGATTTGTAGATCATTCGGCCTGGGGTGGCGAGTGGCGCTTTTAAGCCGTTCGGGCCCAGGGGGGGGGTTTGAGCGGAGCAGCGAACCATGCCTCAAGTTCCACTGCGGAGTCAAGATCATGCAGCTGCAAAATTGAAGGCCATTTTCAAGCTTCGAGTTCTACAGGAGGATGTAGAGCGCAGAGTATGAATCAAAGAATGATGGCAGGTAATTTTCAGCCACACTTAGGTAAAGTTGAAGTCCGAACTCAGACAGGGCAAGAGTATGCCATGCCAACCGCCAAGGGAGCTGTTGAGTCCATTGCATGTTGCCAGACTCTATACTATCTCATTCACCGCGGAGTATGAGTGTTTCGAAAGATTGACCTTACGGGGTCATCCCATACTGGCACA